TGAAGGAACCTCTGACAACAGAATTTATTACGATGCTTTCATGACCATAATTCAGTGGTGAGTCTGGTGACACAATTTTTTAATTCCATTTAAGGGCCCTTTGTTTAAAAAGGACCGTGGCGAAACAGCCTGTCGCACCACAGAGCAGTCTCTCATGTAATATTTACTGCCATGATGGACTGTTGATGACAATGACAACTTGTACACCCTCATGGAGTAGCAGGAGGTCTTCTAGCCAATGGCATTGTAATAAGAAGCAACTGCTTATATCATCATGCTACGACCAAACACTTCCCCCGGACCTATTTCGTCATGTTAACCACAGCTCCCTTGTAAACGGATGTCTGTCGGAGGTATTTGCAGCTCTGGTGATTACCAGCCCAAAATAATAGCTACTATCTTTCAGGCAGTGTGCATGGTACATGGCTGAGAGCCTATAATGTATCCGTACTGTTTAATATATATGTATGTATATTGCAGTGAACCCAGTCAGATGGTAAGCTCGTCAATGTCGGAACACAGAATGTCTTTGAGCAGTTTCAGTGTCTCTGAAGTCGTACATGTAATCAAGTAGCCCGATGTCTTGTGACCAGAGAAGAGGCAGATGGGAGGGAGAAGAGACTTAGAGGGTGGAAGAGCAAGTACCCATCAGCTCAGCAGATAGATCTCCCTCACTAGCTCACTGCTCCTTCGGGCATCCCCACTAGCCCACTCCTCCTTCGGGCATCCCCTACTCGCCACATCAGCAGACAGTCTCCTCTGACACGCTCTGACAATGAACAGATCTCGTCATCGCGCACACGGCGCAGACTCATCTGAAGACGAACAGCAATGCGCAATGTCGACATGAATGCAGACGGGTAAGATTCCCTTACGAACCAATCTCACAGCCCTGATCCTCCTCCTCACCAGCATCCCATCAATGTCGTAGACAGTGTGGCGAGAGCCACGTCAGCATAATCAAGTGTCCAGCTGCCGCCGAGAAGGCACCAGCACCCAAGCAGTAGCAGTCTCGCGTCGTCGAACCAGCGTAATGCTAGCGACCAGCCAGCGACCAGCCAGCGTCCAGCCAGCGTCAAACCAGTGTCAAACCAGTGTCAAGAAGCAGGTGCAAGACTGAATGTCGGTCAGCAGGGGCTGGGTCAACATATAGTGTTGACTCCGGTTGACCAACCTCTGGTCTCTCAGATACGATGGCCTAGATTGACTCGCAGCCAATGGCCTGAATCCCATACAGTTGCAGATTCCCACTAAGACTTGATTCTTGACAGATATCTGCAAACAGCCAAGTGTGTGTGTCTGATTGGTGGCCTGGACTGGGTCCATGTTCACTTTGACTCGCGAGCCTGAATTTTTGAGCTGCTGTTGACCTTTTATTTTCCACGGTCAACTGTTGCACGTTGGGCCTTTGCAGGTCAGTTTTAGGCCTTGCTTAGGGTATCCCATAGTAGTAGGCCTTCGTTCAGAACATTGACCCCTATTTTGGCCCTTAGACCAAAATGACGACCCATGGCCCTTGACTATTGCATGATTTGAGCAGAGTTATTGCATTTCATCGGGCCCAATTTCCAGTTCCATCGCAAAAACTATTTCTGTAGGCTCGGTCCTCTTTTAACCCACGCTCATATGCAGCAATAATATCGGGTGCATTAGGAAGAAGTTCTTTCTAAATGAACCATCTTGAAGTGGATATAGGTTGAGTCTTGAACTTTTCCTTGTACTGCTTCTAAGGTCTTGTGACGCCCTAACCTCACGCCCGGCGCGACTTCCTGATCGGAGTAGGGTGTGGGCCTGGAAGTGCAAAAGGGGTGTGCCAAGGATTGTTGGAAAATGGGGGTGGAGTCCCAGGTCGGAACTGAGATCTCCGGTGGCAAGGTTCAGGGCCATAGATGCAATAAAGCAATGGGAAAATTTACAGGCGCGGGCTTGCACGTTGGTTGTGCGGGGCCGTCCGATCCTGACGCGATCGCCGGTTCTGGGGAGCCTGTCGAGGCGGTCTTTGGGGCTCACACCTGCGGAGCCCGCCACGTGGCGTGGGTTGGTGGGAACTAAGCCTAGGTGCTGAGGCTTCGGGGGTTTGGGTATGCGCACGCCGCCTGCAGCTTCGGCACGGGGTGGAGGGCCAATAAGGTGCTATGGAATTCCTCGGTACTACTGTAAGCTGATGATAGGGGAGGAGGAGGTGTTATGGCGGGAAACTAGTGGCGACAAGGAGGAAGCCGGGAGTTATGAAATATTCCGTGTTGTGCGTGTTTGGGTAGTCGGGTCCCCGCGGGTCGCTTCGTACGGCGAGATGGAATTCCCTAGCGCAGAATCTATCATTTTCTGTGAGGCAGGGGAATACCGCGTTCCTCAAATTTTTCCGTAAACGGAGTTGTTCTTCTTCCCAGATTTCTCGGTGCCCGAAATACGACTCGTAATCCTCGGAATTCCAAGATACGTCGGAACTCCACGAGCTCGTCATTCTTTTATCACTCACGTCTTGGGGGGGGGATAAGTTAATCGGGGAGATCACCGCTTGTAAGTGCGTAAAAGAGATGTGAACGAGTCGCACTTACGCGCGATGGGTAACCCAATCCCGATTGACATCGACTCCTTCTTCAGTGAAGGGCTGGCTACGCGCATTAGTTAAGACGTGATTGGCGATGGTAGGGGCACGTGTAAGCCGCGCTCCGTCCGGATCGGACTTGCATGGGTCCCTATGGCACGTCGGATGGTGCGCTCCAGACTATCCGTAAGCTACAACAAGCCAACACACTCTATTGATCACGCCAGCATGCAATCCCCATTTTCACTCATCCTGTACGAGGGTTCGAAGGAAACGATCAAAAACGAAAGGCGAGGGTGCGCGAACCATCCATATGTTATTTGCAAAAGAGGATTCCGGGGAAGAAAAGAAAAAGGAGAAATCATCGATGAAAAGAAGAACAAAACCAAATCGGACAACAGGACGAGCATATGGCCGCAAAGACAAGGGCGAATTGCCCGTGATTGACACCAAAACTTAT